GCCAGCATGTACCTGCCACAGTGCTTATAGATGCCCTTTTTAATAAAATATAGATAAGATAAAATATTTATAAGATATTTTTTAGTTTCCAAACCAGCATGGAACAGAAATAACAAGGTACACAAACTGAATAAAATAACAATCTGCCCACAGCCTCAGGAGACCATCATCCCCCAAGACTGTAGCTCTGATGCATAAAGCCCTTGGGGGCATTCACAGACATCTCTGATGTGGTCTCTGTGGGCTGTCCCTCATGGCAATCAGGTTGTATTGGAACGATTTTATGTCATAAATGCTCACACAGTTCTACTCAAGCACTATGGGTGGAAAGCACTGCCTCACACTGTGGCTAATGCACATTGTGCTGCTAACACACGTAAGAGCTTCTGCCATGAGTCATCTGCAAGACAGGCTGGGGCTCTGGGAAAGGACACTTTTTACTGAAACATGAGAGCAGCTACCACTACACTCCAGGGCAGCATGTGGCTGCAGTAAGCGCAGTGGCCATGGAGATTACTCACCCAGCCCGAGGCATGAGACTCTCAATCCGGATTTTCCAAGGTTTCTGTAAGGAAAATAAAATAATTAGAAAATATCACTAAGTTCTCAAGCGACACATAACTTAACCCCACGGGAAACCAGCGGCCAGACAAGATGAGTCCCTGTTTTTGTCCAAATCATCTGTTTTCCTCCAAAGGGGCAGACTGTCCTTCATCTGGGATGCTGGCCACTCAGTTTGGAGAAGTGTGGATGCACTGCCATCACCCTTGGCCTCACTAGATTGTGGGAGAAGCTTGGAGTGCTCCTGGGGCTGGGAATAAACCCAAATACATCCAGATGTATCTCACATCTGATGTTGTTTGGGTCTCCTGAATAAGGCATGCATGCATGTTCCTTTCACTTTCATCATTGTTTGGTATTCATTGTATTAACACCAAAGTATCCACCTTATTCAGCTTCACTGGGTTTTTTTTATTCACCCTCACACTTGTCAGAACACTCACATCCATCACAGACCCCTGGTCTGGTTACACTGCTGCTCCCAATCATCTATTCCCCGCGAACAAAACAGCTCATGATTTTCCAGCCGGAGCAGAAGCAGCGCCTTGATCCCCAACACCGTCTGCTTTTCAGCATCAGTGAGATAAAGTTATTACCCTTCTCCTCACCTCCCAGAGCCAGGCTGGAGACAAGATAATTAGACCTGAGGCCATGAAATGTGCCATACATTAACCCCCTACCCTAACTTAAACCTATCGCTGCAGTACAAAATACCCTTTTAATTATACCCTCCTGCTTTAAACTTCACATTACAGCTGGATCTGTGCAATTTTTTTGCCAGATCAAGGTATTATTTAAGGACCATCTATCTACCTTCCACTACAGAGCACCATGGGGAAAAAATAAAAAAACACAAAAACAAAAAAACACAAAAAAAACCCAACAAAAAAAAAAAAAAACCAACCAAAAGCAAACCCACACACAACCCACCCCCACCCCCCCAAAAAAGCCCCACAAAAAACCACTGCACGTTTTGCTGCTCCTGATTAGTTATTTAAAGCCAAATAAAAAATAAATTAAAAAAAAATAAAAAAAGAAGGCAGGGCACAGTGAAAGGGGTCAGATGAAACACCCAACATTAGCACAGGTCACGCTCTGCTCTGTTAGCTCTTTCCATTTTTACATGCTTCATTTCGTGACCTTTTCACATAGCACAATTTCCTGTGTTGAAGAGCAACCGAAGGCATCCCGAGGGGTCAGAGACCCAGACCGATTCCAGCAGGCAGCCCATGGGGCAGGGTTCCCACCCACAATGCCGCTGCTGTCAGAATCTAGCACTGCTGCTGGGAATGTAAAATTTTGGGAGAGACAGGAATTTGTCCTCAAGCACCTACTTGAAAAGCTGCAGCTGCATTTCCAGCACACGAGCCCCCGGGCTCACAGCATGGATGGGGCAGGCACTGACCTGATTTTTCATCGTGTCGTCCCTCGCCCCACCCCCCCCACCCCGTTTTTTCTTTTCTTTCTTTTCTATTATTTTTTCAAGTGAAAGCACAGCTGGACCCCTGCATTCCAAACCCCACGGAATAGCACAAGTAATGCCCATCCTCCCCTGCTCACCAGCACAAAACACAACCCTCTGAAAGTTCAAAGGCAAATACCCAGCAGCTGCCTGCGTGCTCCAGACAGAGCTACACCACTTCTGGCAGGAAAGAGGAGCCCAGGCTCACAGGATTGGGATTTCCACGTTACTTCTGGAGACAGCCCACCTGCTGCACAGTGCTCTTTGAAGAAATTAAATGCTACTGTGCATTTACAAAACAGTTTACATTTATTTTGTAGAAGAGGGTTTTTTTTAAGTCCTCTTTCTCACCAACCTATTCTTTGCCTTTCAAAGTCTGTCTCTGTCCCTGCACAGTTACAATGCTGCCAGGGCGCAGCTTGGCCATGGAGGTGTACTCCTCTCTCTACATAGATATAAATACATATATACACACATTACCCTTTATATATATGCATATACATATCCTTTTTATATACCACTTTATATAAGTGCATACATATATACACATATCCATGCATGAAACCCTACAGCATTCACATCACTCCACCAAGCAGTGGGGTCTGTCTCAGTGTCTCAGCCCACTGGCTGGCTGTCCTGTTCTCCTTCCTCAGAGGTCCCTTGTCATCCCCCCCCCAGGCCATAAAACCACATGAGGGCTCATCCCTCCACAAACTGGGGCTTTGGGGGGTAAAGCACACACACACAAACCCAGTTTTCCTCCAGAGAGTGATAACCAGCTTTTTGCAGAGTCTGGTCCTCCAACAAATCTGGACAGAAATACAGTGTTTGGATTTCCAAAGCTGTCTTTGCCATTTACCTAGCACATATGTGACCTGGGTACTTGGAAAAATTTATATCTATAGTCAAGAGCTGACACTGAAAACGTCAAGTCTTTGCCTTTTTTTTTTTTCTTCTCTCCTTTCATTAGCACAGCAGCTATCTTGCATCTCTTCTCACTGATATTCATCTTCCCTTACACTTTGCAAAACTGGAGCAATTGCACTGCTCCCCGCAAACCACTGACCAACCCTGTCACACACACAGAGAAGTACCAAGAGTTTTAAGTCCAGGACTTATCCCTGCCATGACACCTTCCATACTGCTTCTAGGCACCAAATTGAAGATGCCCTTGTTTTCTTTATCCCACAATTGCACCATGAGCAAGACCCAAAAGGTATTCAACATCTCATTCCTGAATTCTTTTAAGATCAAAGGCTAAAACAAAATGCTATCACATTGCTGTGCTGCCCAAACCTATGTCAGAGCAGAGTCAAAGCACCTAAGCCTGGGCATGGGAGAATCCACCTGAGGGAAGAGGATGAGGAAAGACGCATGGAAGCTGCATGAAGAATATGGTTTTATGGCAGAGGCACAGGGCAGCCCCACTCAGGGCCCATGGCAGGAGCAATGCAAACCCCACTGGAAGCACCCATGTCACTGAAACCTCTAATAAAGGATGTTTACAGCCATGCTCATTACGTTGAAGGCAATAGGGCACTAACTTCATGAAGTGAAAGAAAACACCACTCTGTAGGTCTAAGAAAATGTATTTTAACTTAAAACTTTCCAGTTTGCTTCTCCAGAGAACAGGCAAACATACCATGGTAGTATTGCCCTGTCCCAGCACCTGGAACCAAACAGGGCAGGGGACAGCGAAAGACATGAGGACACAAAGCCCCCAAGAGCCCAGACTTGCATGCTGGTTTAACATGGTGCTTCTTTCCTGGCTTAAACCAAAGGCAACATTTTTCCTGTGCAGGTGGGAGTCTGAGCTAACACAACTGTCCCCGCAGCACCAGCAGCTTTGCCAGATTACACTGGGCTCACAGGCACAGGAGATGAATGCCTGATTCATTGAAAACACAGCTTGCAAGTTAGGGATGTTGTTAAAAATACACCAAGGTACCAAAACAACATGTAGGGAGGGATGACATTTTCCTTGACTAGGCTTTTCCAAACAGAGGGCACATCCATTTCCCGAGGAAGCACAAGTTCTTGGCATGTTCATGGGTAAGCACCACTTTGAGAAGCTGCTATCCATGACAGCATCCAAGTACTGGCAGACTCCAGGAGCAGCTACTGCTGCTAAATGCCAGTTAATACCACATAAACAACCAGGCAGCATGCGAGAATGGGCCTGGTGGGGAAAAGGCTGGGAAGGAGGTGTTAGCCCAGAACCCGCTGGGGCTGGGAGCTCGCAGCCAGCAGGGAATGGCATCTTCCTGCTGGAAAGGAGCAACTTGAGCAGCAGGACCCAAACAGGCAGCACAGGCACAGGGCTGGTTACTAATCCCTCCGCCACTTAAGGAATTGCCAGGTCTTCACCAAGAAAATCAAGTTCTCATTTTCTCTTGCTCGTGGAGAGAGTTGCGCATATACCGTATCTGTTCCTGCTCCTTCCTCATCCTCCATAAACCTCAGGCTCAGAGGCACAGTCCCCAGCATTCAGGGATTTTGCCAGGGGTGAGCTTCGGGTTTTTGCCTGGCAGTCTGGCAGGCAGCACAGGGCTGGCATCAAGCCCAAGGGTGAAGGGGTCACTTCAGCTGCGTGGGGACCTGGAAAACCTTTGTTGAAATGCTTACACCTCTTCCCAGCCTGCAGCAAAGAGCAGAGCCTCTGCCTGGACAGCAGTTATTAGGTCCCTGTGACTCAAAGGCACAAAGCACTCTAAAATTTGCTTCTGTGATTATAATTCACATCTCCCTTGTTTCCAGAAGATGCACCGCTCCTTATCAGCAGCTCCAACCCTGGCTGTAGACCAAGCGTGGTTCCCTGTGTTCCTCTACAGCTGCTAATTCATAAATGGAGACTAAAAACAGAACTAAAACCCCACCACAAAACTTAGCTTTTAAACACAAAGGATATCATATTCAGAAAAGATACTTTGGTTCTGGACCCGTTGTGATGCTGAATAAGCTGAAGTTAATTATTGTGCTAGAAACAAGTGGCTAAATGAGACAAGTGCTTATGGGCTGACACCAGTCAGTGCAGGGACATGGAAACCAGCTGCCAGACAGAACCAGCCCCACATATGTGCAAAGTGCTGCAAAAGCATACAGCTCCCCAAAACTGGGGGAAAAAAGGCATTTTGCTTGTTAGCCACTTTTCTGTGGGCAAAGTTACAGGCAAAACCAAGGAAAACGCTAGATAGAGTGATGTAGCAGATCTGAATGACAGGGAAGAAGAGCTCGTTACATGTCTGAGGAGCCAGGGTTCAACATGCACAAGAGAAGCCAAGACAGCAACTTTAGACTTCAAGAACTCTTTGGTTCAGTATCAGGAAGTCAAAAAGCAATGCAAAGGGAAAAGAGAGGACAAATACATGCTGCAGGAATATAGAGAGGTGATGAGAACAAGACACACCTGTGATAAAGCCTGATGGTAAAAAGGCGGGGGGGTGGAAATTAGCTTTTTCAAGAGTCTCAGGAGCAAAGGAGGAAGAAATCCATTCCCAGGGAATTTTTCACTGTAATGTGGCCACATAGGAAGATTAGATTAT